CTTTAGTTATAAACTTCATTTTGTTCTTCATTAATTAATTATGTGTTCACATATTAACTAATTATTGACAATTATTACTACTTACGAATTAAAATTTTTGCTAATTATTGATTTAAAAGGAAACCATAAGATGTTTAAAATGCTCTAAAGTAAAAAAAAGGGAAATTATTATCATTCAGTGAATTTGAAATGGGATTTTAAGGATATTGAGATTTAAGGATATACAGTAAGAGTCATTGTAATTGCTGGCAATGAAATCCAGCAGTAGAGCTCTGCACCTGCCATCCCTGCTGACTGGCTGTTGAAGAACATAACTGCCAACAGTGGAAATATGGAATGGTACAAGCAGGTTTATAAAACAGTCTTCAAAAAGCACCAGTTAAATAAACTCTGCAGAGCATTTTTTTATTTCTGATATCAAAATAAGTTTTGAGTCATTCTAAAAGGTGAAATGAAGGAAAGTATTTTTAAGAGGGAATAAAGTGCTCTGATAATTTTTTTGGCAAGCCTACTGATATGGTAAGCAAGAAACAAATTATAATTGCCATAAAAAGTATTCATTTGTATTGACTTTTAGTTAATTGAATGCTGAAAGTTATATATTGGGTGTTTTTTATTGCATAATTAAAACATTTTGGTTAATTCTATTATCTTAATGTTGAGTGTAACATTAATAACCAAATCCTATTTTCTAATTAATCAAATATGTACTGTATCTGTTATTTAATCTATTATCTATTAGTTCATAAATACAACATTTAAATATAAGCACATGTATTGTGAATAAAATACTGTATCTTTTATTTTACACTGCTGAAAACAAAATATATGTATCTTGAAACTAAAATTAGAGTACAATTACTTATCTTCAGTTCTTTCCTGTCTTATCTGAAATAAAGATGAAAATCAATATAATATGACAGAGGCCATTACCCCCTTTCAATATGACTATAAGACGCAATTACATGACCCCACTTAATCAAAGGGGCAGACTACATAAGGCACTCTTTAAAATACTAATATCAGAGTCCTATGATGGTTAAGTGTCTCATGGAGAAAATTCCACAGTATCTTGTCTGTAAGCATCTACTGTACCTGTGCAATGAATCAAATCCCTGTAATTACTATTTCACACAAGGCTTTAACCATCTATTAAGTTACATAATTTCCATACTATGTTGTGAAAGCTGAATTACTTAACAGACTTAAAAGTTGTATTGAGAGCTTAAACCAGCAGATTGCCAGGAATGGAGATTAAGGTATTACTTTTTTCACACTATTAGCAAATATGATCATTGTTTTTACTATCTTATACTGTGTGAACAAGCAAGTCAATAATTTTGCGTTTGTACTGTACATCTTTGTGGAATTCATACAAGAGGTTTTCTCTAAAAAAAGGGCATGATATTTCTGTCAAAATATATTTTACTGAGGTTAGCAGAATGCTTGTATCTTTACTGTTTCATGGATTCTTAATTAGGAATTCTCATTTGCTGCATTGTTGAACCATACAGTATATAAGCTATATAAAACGGTCTTTAAAAGCAGATTATGATGCTACCTTGATCCACACACACAGCTGTTGCTTGTGACTGTGCTGCTGACTCCCTTGTGATTTAATTATCCCTGGCCTTGACCAAACCAAAGAGGGAAGGCATAGTGGGTCAAGTTTTTTTAAGATGAACACCAGTTCATAGCTATCAATAAACATTACCATCAGTGCTCAATTTCCATTAATGCTTGATAATGCAATCCAGGTGTAGCTTCCTGTAATATTTGATACATTTAACGTATTTTCATATACAGTATTTATTAACACAAGATCTGTTAAGTAATGGGTTATGTGTTATGAGAAGAGAAGCAGAAGATGCTATGTGTACTGGTCAAATGAAAATAAAGCAGTTTATAAAACACAGCATGTCACTAAGCTTCAATAATTACTACATTGGAAACTACAGTAGAGTGGAATTTCATTTTCAAATACTGTATGTTCTACTATGTAAGATGACAATTTACACATTCACTAAAACGTGTTTAAATAATTTTGCATTTATGTGGTTTACATGTAAGAGGGACCCAGTTCATTCACCACTGTTATGGGGCCCCAGTACACAACCTAGAAAATTACTTCACTAATTTGAATTAAGGGGGGCAGGGCAGATTGTACAAAATGGAATTTAGCCAAGAAACTGAGATTAACTCCCCCTCCCTTTCAAACAGTCAAGAAATAAGTTTAACGTCTCATCCAAAGGCTGGTGCTGGTTTTGAAAATTGTGCTCCTGAGGGAAGAGCAACACCTACTGGATCACCAGCACCCCTTTAAGCAACACCATGGCTTCCCATGGAGGCTCCACGCCAATAGTGACCAGGTCTAGCTTTGCATAGTTTAAAAAATCTGACAAGATCGGGCTACAAGGTGCCAGCACTGCTGTCCAAACCCTGCACGCTCAAAATATCAGTGAAAGGATCAAAAACACTATCTACAATGGGGATAAAACAAAACAAACTAGGGCACTGTTGTTGTATTGATAAGATTGTACTATGTTTATATTAACATATTGCATATACTGTACTGTTGATTAATAATTTATTAATATTTTGATATTGCTCTCTAAATAATAGTGCAGTGCATGTAATGTGATTTGGATTGTTCATGTCATTGTTCCAAAGCTCTTCAGACTAGATTCACAGCAGTCTGTGTGTTGTAAGTGTAAAGAAACAGGATAGCTACATGTTGAAATCTTTACAACAGGATCTCACTTCCTAAAGTAAAATTAAAATACAATTTGCAAATTAAATGTACAGGGATTGAAAGTTTCAATCTCTGAAGCTCTAGTCAGAACAGGCAGGAGCAACAGCTGGGTCTCATCTACATCACATTTTCTGTAATTCTGACTAATATTTTCTGTGCAGGCAGCTACTGAAAGGAAAACAATCTACAAATACAGTTTACCATCATTTAGAAATGTTTATGGTTTCACAGTGCTGTTTACATAATTCTTTAAATTGATCTTACTTCAGCATGATTTTTTATTACATTAAAGCCGGGACATTTCTGATTGTGTTTATTTCAATTTTCATTTGCAATCCATTTGTGTATGGTGAGGGAATACCACAGAACATGCAGATCTTAGACCTTGTGGTCTGTGACTTTGTTGGATACATACTGTACTGTTGGCTGAAAAATTGAATGGAAAATTCTTAAACATAAGGTAGTTCTATTCATTACCAGTGCCAAATGTTTATTCAGGGTCATTACATTAAGGTTCAAAAGTAACTTAATGATGCCAGTACTGTAGAGTAAGCACAGTAATTTTCTGAAGTGGTTTTCTCTTTATTTTCAGTTTCCTTTGCATTATTTTTTGTAAAGCAAATACATATTTTAAGAGATTTTTTGACAAAGTATTGACGGCAGAATTTCTTTATTGTTGGAATGTGAGCCTCAGAAGACATTCACAATTATTGAGTTTTTCTGAACAATTATGAGTTTAACTCCCCCAATAATCAATCAGACCAAAATACTGTACTTAAATAGGTGATGGCATAAATGTCACAGTAAAATACTGTTGTGTATTATGTATGTAACAGTAAGACCAAATAAGACGATTTGTTTATTGCTATTCTTACTTTGCTTATTGCAGAAAATTCATGTGCATAATGAAATTGATCTCTCCGAGTCAAAGATGGTCAACAATAGTTAAAATATTATCTTAAAATGTTCATTAAAGCAACAGTGGGAGAAAATGTAGAGCAAAATCTACAAAAATACTTATGGACACAGAATAAAAATGTGCTTTTCCAATTTACAAAACCTACATTTTTTAGTAATCTCTAAGTCATTTACTTCAGTACTCAATTCTCACATTAACTTTATGGAAATTTGGCAATAAGCACATTTCTGAAAAAACATTTAAACTGATTTTGCAGATAGCATATTTATAGTCAGTCTTAATGAGCAACACATTTCACAGTTGGAAAATGTCAGATTAAAACCTTGTTAATGGATCATCATTATAACTGCAGAGTTTTCCAAAAAATAAATGTTTCAGGATATGTAAAAGAGTTGAGATACAGTGCATGCATTTTATGAGCATTTTGACACTGGATGAAAGAAAGGAGGTAGAAAGTAATAGTTCTTGTATAAGGTTTTGAATGACATAGTTTGTGCACTGACTTTCTCATGCAAAGACTTACTGTAATTGTCAGTTTATGATGTTATTTTTGAGCCATTTCCATTAATCTAGCCTTTTGGCTTCTTTTAGAATGTATGCATTCTTAAATCTCCTAAATTTACTGTATATTGCACTATATCACTGCTTGCATTGACTTCCGTGCTGTGATTTATTTTTGGACACTTCAAGGGAACTTTTCTGTCTTTGAACTGGTGAAAACAGAGCATAAACTGAATAGCCTGTAGCTGATTATATAACACTGAATTGTCTCTCGTGAGTCTTGCTGAAAAGGCAAACAGGACACGGTTTTCTTTTTTACTGTATGTATTCTTTTCAACACACACGTACTACTAAATACTACTATATACAGTATTCATATTATTCCAGAGAGCCTAAATCTATCATTATGATGAGATGAACATGGTGATTTATTATTATTATTATTATTATTATTATTATTATTATTATTATTATTATTATTAGACAAACATTTTATGTTTATGTATATCCATTCGATAACTTCCATAAAGGGGGTCCAAGATTATGGTTGGTGTTTTTAGGGAAGATATAACTACAATTAAAATGATCTGGAAAACTAATACCAATAACACACCATATTTCAATATCACTTTTTTTAAGGTACCTGTTTAGTTTCAAACGTATTTAGCTTTCTTTTCTCCTTCAGCTATGTATGCTCAGTTAGAATGCAAAGACCCAGTCAATGCAGACACTGTTTTGTTTATGGGATACTGTAAATCACAATGAGCATTTGGTCCGAAATACGGCTGGATAAACGATGAGTCAGAGGCCCATTTGTCTCTGTTTCAGGGCCTTCTTCTGTGATCAGCAATGACGATGACTCTGCAAGTCCCCTTCATCACGTGTCAAATGGCAGCAACACTCCCTCTTCTTCAGAGATCGGTCCTGATGCTGTCATCATTGGAATGACGAAGATTCCCGTGATCGAAAATCCTCAGTATTTCAGGAGCACCAGCAGTTTACTCAAGTCTGATACCTGTGAGTATGAGTTTTTCATGTGTGCTTCTCCTCACCTAAAGTCAATGTACACTCCTGATACTTATCTTCTACTGAGCTGAGCAGTTGTGTTGAGGGTTTGTGGTATGCCGCATGCCAGCAATTTAGATTTCAACTCTTCGGCACTGGTAAGACTTTTAATTGAGGTTTTGCAAAGCTCCCCATAGATGGATTGACATTTCTTCTACTTCACTATATTTATTTACAGGGGATGCCCAAGAACATGTGGAACTCTTACTAGAATTTCATTAGTGAAGATTAGGTATGGCAGGAGCTTAAGGAGACATAACTATGCACTTTAAGATGATTGCTTTTAAAGACACTACAGTATATATACAATAAAATGTTTATTATTGTTGTTGTCGTTGCTGCTGCTGTTGACTCCATATCTTCAATACCTGGTATTTTTCCTGAGAGTTCCCAGGCACCATATTAGGTACTTCACTTACTCTTGCATGACTGTTACCATAGTAACTTTACTGCTACTGCCATAGTGATGACATTGGAATGTCTGCTAAGCCTTGTGTTCCTGAGCTAGGTAGAATGAGTGGCACTTTTTATTATTTCTTTTCAGACCCCAGGTCTTGATTACTCTGATCAGTCTATCAGAGCAGTTAAAGATTTACAGTAAGAAAAGCCGTTCAAAACAGTATGTATTCTGATTGCTGCCTCTTTCAAATGCCAATAAAGAACACACTGTACCTGAGTCATTTTGAAAACGACTTTCAATTTTCCCTCTCTAGACATGTATGATTATATTCAGACATAAGCTGCGCATGAACTATAACCACATCAGAATTCATCATGCTTGAGAAAAAGCTGCTAGGCTGTTAAACATTAAACATTTAGATTCCAGTACATTCACTAGGTGTACAGTTAATACAATATTGTTATATAAAATATTTTGATTTGAAAACAACATATAACTGAAATGTAGGTGCAGGAGGGACCATATTTGATAGTTCTATTGTGACAATTGTGTTCTATTGTGGCAAGAAAAAATCTGTTAACGTAATTATTTTGTATTTGAAGACTTTTCTTTATATCACACTCATAAACAGTACAGATCAAGACTACATTAAAAAAACTGTTTTCAGTTTAAATAACTGAATATGAATGTTTTTCCCCATTTGCTATATTAACGGTTACCATGGAATTAAACTGTAACCGTTTTGCACATTGTGCCTTATAGTCTACTTTCCTTTCACACCCTTTTAAACTTCTGTTTTTTTTTAAAGGCCAGCAATTGCTTTTCTTCAGAGCTTTCAGTTTCTCAGGTCAGATTTCTCTGCTTTCCTTTACGGCTAATCTGGTAATCACCAGTGTTACAAAAACTTAAGCCCTGTTGACAGCATGTTCTCCATGGCTTCATTCGACATTCATTTCAAAGGCTGTTGGTTATTTTTCTTAGACATAACAGTCATTGCTTTACTGCTTTGAAAGGTGCTGATGCAATCTGTTTTTCCCACCCGTAGGAAAGGATAACTCTTCTCGGATGTCTGAAAGTATTACTTGTTGGTGGCCTTTAATAATATTTGTGTAAATTAATAAGCTGAATAACACATTTTAAAAAACGAATTAATCTCAATACTAAAATGAGATATTAACAGTTGTTTTTAGTGATATTATTGACAAATAAATGGTTTTGTCTTTCTCATTCAAATTAAAGTCAATGTTGAAGGTTCTTCATTCTGTATATTAAACCCTAGGCGTTTCGCTTTGAGAGCCTTGTGTCTTCCTGATAGCATTTTTTAGATGTGTGCATGAATCTGGAGAGCAAAAGGAGTCTTGAGTATTTAACCTTAAACTTGTTTTGAAAATATTTTCCCCTCTCACCCAATTAAATTGTGACTGCTCATCATCAACACTGGGATGTTTCATCCTTTGTAACATGCCTTGTCTTGTTTAGCTTCTAGAGGTGTCAACATCATTCTTTCACTTACCTTAGGAACAAGGTTAAAAATGTTCAGCAGATTTTTTTTTTTAAATGTACATAGCTTTTATTTGCTTTTTGGGGGGCAAAAGTGCAATTCAAGCCCATGCTGAATATAAATATGAATATGTGGGAATTGTTTTCAAATTTTAAACATTTTAATTGATTTCACAAGGAGATCCAGACTTAAGCCAATAGGAAAACAATGTAAATCCACAAGGCTAAAATATCTGTAATCAGAGAAAAATTGTATAAATGTTCACTGTGTTAATGTGTTAAGTATTTATTATATGTGAACATTTAAAACTCAGTTTCTGAATAAACACCAATGGATGCAAGACATCAGTGGATATACATGTTATATAAAACCTGCTGTCTCACAGTTCTTGAGTTTGATACTGAACTAGAGCAGCTCCTGTGCGGTGTTTGTATATTTTCCCTGTATCTGCATGAGTTTTCTCTAGTTGCCCTGTTTCTCCCCACCAGAGACATACTGGTTAGCTTGATTTGTGATTCTAAATTGTCCCTGTGTGCATATAGAGTACATGTGACCTGATAGATTAAGTTCCCTTCCAGACGTATCCCAGCCTCATATACTATGATTTGGGGATTTAAGTGTTTTAATTTAATCAATAGATTGACGATACGTTTTGCAATGTGACACAAAAGTATTTACCAATTCTCATTCTTAATGTAGATATAACCTTTCTAGAGTAAATGGTTATGGGTAGATATTGAGGGTGGTAGAGTAGGGTTTCTGCTCCTCATTGCTGTTTCTATATCATCTCAATAAAAGTAAATATCTCATTTATCTGTAGTTTTCAGATACTACAGTAACACCAGAATGGGCAGCTTTTATCCAAAGTATTCTATCTGACTGAAACTGATTTAACCTAACATTCGTGACATTGTTGTGGAGTCAGGTGGCTCACCTGTACATAAAACTGTCATTTGAAACTGGAAATACTGCAGCATCGTACAAAGAAAACAAAATAAAGTTTATAAAAGAATGTGTGTAGGCTGTACATGACAAATGCCTGAAGGACGTCAGGCAAGATATTATAAATATTGCACCTGGACTTGATTAGTTTTTTGGAATGTTTTAAAATAAAAAAAAGCTGTTGATGTGTCAGTTCCGTGGAATTCTTGTGGTAAGTATTAATTTTAGGTTTGTAATTTTTTAACACTATGATTACAAACCCAAGTTTAAAACAAATTAGCATTACATTTAAACACTTTTTTTCCCGTGTTGCTTCATTACTTGTACAGCTTACCTTTCCAAAACCATTCAAATACAATGGCCATTGTGCATGCACACAGGAGTATGGCTGTCATTAATTCTACATTTTCTAAACTGTCTGATGTTTGCTCTTTTTATAGGTTAAGGTCTGTAATCCAGAGTTTATTATGAGTTTGCGTATGGGTCATGTCAGTAGCCAGTTCAGTTTAAAGAGTTGTACACAACAGACAGAACGAGGATTGAGCTGGACTGTGACAAACAATTGAAAGTTCTGGGCAAGTGCAGGCTTACAGTGACATCAGTGATGGCTGCTCTGCTCCTCCAGTCTCTGTTAACCTTCCTGTCAGCTGCTGTGGATCATGGTGAATGTCTCTGCAGGTGGGTGTACTGGAGGAGCATTACTGCAAGTCTCATTCTCTCCTGAGCAGGAGAAGCTGATGCTAACTCCCTAGTGATCCTAGAAAGCCACGACATATACAGAAATAATTGGTGATTCCAAACTGGGTGAACAAAGTCCTTTATAATTTGTAATTGATTTGGTTCCATATGATAGTCCTGTCATTTTGTGGTGCGTTTGCTTATAAGTAAATGATTCTTAACAAATTTCCACTCAGCATACAATCTCTACAAAACAGATGGTCTATTCTTACATTTTAGGAACTGTAGTAAGTTCTTTTTTTAATTAACACTTTTCTCCACCTCATTATTTTTCTGGTGCTTTTCATGATTCTCTGGAAGAGTATTTCTACAATATCTAGATGGTTTTATTACTGATAATCAGACTCAAACTGAATTTGAACAACTTGCCTGAAAAAATCTTTGGTTTCCATTTAATATAATTGGTAGTGAAACTTGGAAGTACAATTTGTAATTTGTTTTGTAGTTTTTCAAGTCTTTTAAGTTTGAAAAATGTGCCAAGTAATATTACCAACATTTTGTACTCTCCATAATATCATTCATTTATTTATTTCCAATGTAATTGCTTAATTAATTTCTTCTGATTTATTTTCTTCTTTTAATTACTGAAATAAATGTTATATTATTTAAATTCAGCAACAAGCATGGAACCTGTTTCTTCAGTGACGAGCCAGGGATGTTGGGAATATGTCAAGTCATAAAGTAAAATATACTATATTCCTGGCATTGGTAGATTTCTTCATATCACTCTCATATTCAGAAATATTTTTAGAGTTTTTGTTCACATCCTCTTTCCAATTAAATATTGTACAGTGCCTACAGAAATTCTACACACCCTTTCCAATCTAACATTTTTTTGTTTGTAACAACCTGATATCAAGACTCATTAAATTAAAATGTATTTTACCTATTATTTACACAATATAACACATAACATTCAAGAGAAAACAAATGAGTGTACTTTCTGAAAAGTAATTACAAGTACAAACTTAGAAAAATGGGTTGGATAAGTGTACACACCCCTGAGTTAGTACTTGCTGGAAGCACATATTGCTTGAATTACAGACATACAGTACTTCTTGGCAGTGTTTGCCCATTCCTCCTTACACAACTGTTCAAGCTCAGTTATATTGTGAGGACATCATTGATGGACTACAACCTT